TAATATAATTATTAAATATAATATAATAATAATTATATATTATATTGTAATTATATATATTATATAATAGTATAATATAATATAGTTATAATTTTTAATTATATTATAATTGAAATATCATTGTTTTTTATATAATTTATAATATATTTTAAAATATTATAATCACATTAACCATTTTAATATTATTATTATAATATATGATATAATAATAGTTTAATTATATTATATTTCATTTTATATATTAATTATATTAATATATAAAATATTAGTGTTATATATAATATCAGAATAATTTTATCAACATAAAAATATTTATATTTTATTCTATAGTATTTTTAAAATTACAACTAAACAAATAAATTAACCTTTTTTTTTTCATTTTATTCCATTACTATTGTGATTCCTCCACTGCAACTAAATACACCATGAGTGTGCTAGAAGAACTTTATTCTTCTTTTACTTTTGTTATTTACTTTGACAGAATGCTTTGGGAAAAATATCTTTGGAATTGATGTGAAATCAGTTCTAAATTGGTTTATATTAAATTGCTGATAATTTAAAACTTTCTGCCAATTGTATATGAAAACTAAATATCAAATCTTTGGATGAGGGATGCGCTTATATACACATAAATCAAAGGAAAGTAAAACTCTGGAAAATTGAAAATTGAAAAGAATTGCAAGGGAGGCTGGTTCCAGATTCCAATATTGCCTTTCACCGCAACTCTACCACTTCCCCTTCGTTGCATACTCCCACATCAACAGACACTATGCCATTGGTCTTCGTTGGCAATAATCTGCAACAATTTCTCCTTGGAGCCTGCTCCCAAATATTCAACCAAACATAAGCTTACAAAACTCCATAAAATAATTTAAAAAACAACACTAAAAAAACCGTAACGTCCTTCCCCCAAAAGAACTTCTACATGCCCATAACTTGTAAACTGTAAAATCCTATTTACGATTTTAATAAAACTTATAACGATTTTACCTTTTGTTTTTTTGGATTTTTTTAATGTTCGAGTATTTTTTTTAGTTTATGAAATCATTTTTCTTTTGTTAAATTTTAATTTGGTTTCTGATTAGCTTACACGTGTCCCTTATGGGACCATTTCCCTCCAATTTTTCTTATGGGATTTTCTTTTTATGCTGTTATCAATTGGATATGCTATACATCAAATTTTAAATTTTAAGGCTCGACTGCCAAAACTTTTAGTTCAGGGATTAAATTGGGATACGCGTAAAATTTTGAGAGTATCCATTTAAAAAAGTTATTTTTTACAATTTTCTTTTTTTTTAACAAATTTTATAAAACACTTATGTCAACATACCCCTGCACTTCAAAATGTTCATGTTGTGCATCCTGAATTTTGTCACTTGTGTCAAGATACTTTTAAGATTAACTCCGTTAAATTTTTTATTGGTAATGTTTATAAACACTTCATGAACTTTGTCAATTATGTCAATATACTCCATGAACTTTAAAATGTACCTGTTTTGTCCTCAAACTATTATATGTCTCTAATTTTTCTCCATCTATCTTGATTCTATTAGTTTTTTACACGAAAATATTGATATGGCCATTAAATTACTAATTATCTATGATATTTGACCATTAAAGTTTGTTAAGTTAATGATTTTCTTAAAGTTTGTGTTGATTTTTTTTAAATGGTACAATGAAATAACCTATTTAAATTTATAAATGCTATATATATATATATATATATATATATATATATAAAGCATAAATACGTTTTATGTCTAGCACTGAAATATTAAGAAAAAAAACTAATAAAATTTATTACATTATACAGATTTACTCCTCATTTTTTTCCCTCTTTATTGTCTCTAATTAACTAAATTTTAAGAATTGGTGCTTAACTAACATTTTTATGAGAATGTATTCAATAAACTTCAAATATCATAGATAATTAACAATTTAATGGTTATATTAACATTTCTGGTCAAAAAATGATAGAATTAAGATGGAGAAAAAAAAATTAAAGACATATCATAGTTCGATAGGCAAAACAAGTACATTTTAAAATTCATGTGGCGCATTGACACAAGTGACATAGTTCAGGGACATTTATAAGCATTTCCGTTAAAAAATTTAACAGAGTTAACCTCATGAGGCATGTTGACATAAGTGATAAAATTAAAAGAGAATTTATAAATTTGTCCTTTTTTTTTTTTTTTGCTTGAACATTTTTTATGATTTTAACAAACTTACTAATTTCCTAGAACTTAAAAGAGAAAAGCCTATTACAAATTCCAAGGGAAAAGAGCACACAATTAGTACCTTGTTCCAAATATGCGGGTCGGGTCTCTTGTAAACCTCCACTCTCTGAATCCGAGAGGGATCCGCCATCTTCCACTTGCACTCGGTGTTGGATTCCCGGTTCAGAACGTACCCGCTAACCGTCCGGTTCGTGTCCGGATCGTATATGGCCTTGGTTAAGTAATACACAAACGGTCTTTGACACGTGTTCCTGCTAAAAGGACGCGTGTTAAAAGCATACCCTGTGTAATCTGCTCTCTGATACCAGTTGAGGAAGGTCCGGCCCGGCATTTCCATGTCCCGGACCGAGAAAACGCCCCGGAATATTTGGACCGCGTAGCCCCACGAGACCGACACGGTCCAGTTCCGGCTCTTGTCGTAGCAAATGGACTGTTGCATCAGCCCAGCTGAGTCTAGCTCCATTGGGCCTTTCAGCCTCTCCAGGGCCTTTACTCGGTTGGTGTTGGGGAATATAGGCTGGACTAGGTCCAGGTGATGGAGAGAGACTAGGGGCGTAATTGGATGGGCCGCCAGAAGCCCAAATACGCTGCCGTACACATCGAACTGCATGATTATAGTCCACAGCAACAGAGATTAAATTTTTTTTTTTTTTTAGCTAATTTCAGTTGTACACATCGATGAAAGTTACTAGTCACCACCATAATAATAAATAATACAATAATAAAATATATTAAGTAGTCACCACCATTTAATTATTAAACAAAATTATTCGAACCACTAAAAAGTCCATGTTCACCGTTTAGCTCTTACAATCCACCAAAAGAAGGCCACTGATTGAGATTTTCGGTTTTATGAAAAAGTGTGATTTTTTTTTTCTGGTAAAAAAAAACAGTGTAGTTTGAAGGACCCAAGTCAAATGAAAAGAAGGCCAAACCAATAGAACCCCACAAATTAGTCTACAAACGAAACGCTGGATGCTCCAAGTGTCTTCTATTAATTTAAAAATAGTGCGCACATAGGGTTTATGGTTTTTCAAGAGCTTTTTCCTTTCAACCTTTTTCAATTTCACCCACGCGACTTACATAAAGCAATAACATTGGTTAATATAATTTTAATGCACTTAGAGTAACAAAATCTATACATATCAAAGGGCTAATTTAGGTTTGAATAGTTTAATGAGTCCTAAAAAAAATGAAATGATAAATAATATATGAGGTTTTAAACTTGTGAGGTTATGATAATGTAGGATGTAGAAGAAAACATGTCAAGTAGTGGACTGGTATTTGAATTTTAAATTTGAGAGGTCAGTATGTGAACCTAAAGAAATGGAATTTCGAAACTCGAAAGTTAATGATAAGAGTGGAGAGAGATTGCCTAGTGGCATTCAATTTCTAAACCCCCAGTTTTAGCAAAAAATTTCTAAACCCCCAAAAAAAGAGTGGCGATTTAACGATCATAATGTGCCACGTGGTACGTAGAATGGAAAAACAAACTCAAAAGCCTTTAAAGGCAGCTATGATAAGCAAAAAAAAAAAAAAAACCCCCCTTTTAAAGCAATCCAATCACAGAAATCACACGTAAAAAATAAAGTAGAACGAAGCCGCAACATTTGGCGCGTAAAACAACAACAATAAAAAGGTCGACGTGACACATGGGGGTGTGAATTTATTTGCACGAGGGCTATAGGCGTGATTTGAGGATTGATTGTCACAGTACAGAAACAAATAAACAATTAAATAAATAAATAAAAATAACAAAGAAAAAATAAATAACAAAGGAAAATGAAAAAGGTTTAATTGTGGGCCCGTGGTCCCAAAAAGTGTCATCTATAGGACTCCACGTATCAAGCTCAGTTGTGATTCTACGGAGACACCATGAAAGAAAGTTGGTGGAATTGACTGTTGTTGGTTTTGGTCTCTCCACCGCTATTGACCTTTTTTTTTTTTTTTTTTTTTTTGAAAAATCAAAACATTAGATTTTTTTATTATTATTTTTAATTGCTCACTGCTCACTAGTATCCAACAAACAAAATCATTGATATTGGACGGTGGCTGAAAACATTTTGCAGGTCACCCAAACCCCTAAAGTCTAAAAACAACGGGAAAAAAAAAACAGAAAAAAAAAAAACAAAAAAAAACTCCGCAAATACGATTTCCCACATCTCCAAAGGATCAAATGGGGGCAATTTTAAAGTTTCTAGATTTAGAATCAGAGGCTTAAGTTTATAAGCTAATTTTGTGCTAATCTGAAAAATTTATGGTTAAAAAACTTACTAATTTGGTACAACAGCAAACAGATTACAGAGCTCCAACCACTGCAAAATTCTAATTATACGCACATTATGTTTTTTTCATTCAGTGTTTTGCCCTGCTTTCTCAGCAACCAAACACGAAGGAGAGAAAAAGAGAACAGAAAAGAAATGAAAGTTGAACGTAATCTAACCTGGTGAAAACCTCGTTCCTTGGTAAGAGGAACTCCGAGCTCCGCCATACAAGCCTGAATCCGATCATCAGAGCCGTACAAGCTCGGATACCTCTGGATGCACCGGTCCTGCATTTTCTCGAGCTCCCTCGCCAACGCGTAGCTTATGGCGAATCCGCCGCCGCCGTACGCCATGTTGTACGAGAAATGTATGTTCTGCAAGTGACTCTCCGACGAGCTTCCGATGTAGTAGAACTGATTGTGATCGTACTTCTGCAGAACCCTAACGAGATTATCGGTGACGAAAACGGTGTCGTCGTCGCCCATGACGAACCACCTCACGCCCTCCATTCCCAATCTCAGCGTCTCCGAGACGATTCGCGAGATCCGAATCGCCGAGCGGTGGCCCTTAGGGTTCTTGTACTTGAACTGTGCGGTGTTCTCGGAGACCTTCAATGGCGGCAGAAATTTCTCGTCGTCTTTCTCGGTTTTCACGCACTTGTCTATCCAAACGACTCCCCGCATCTGGTTCGGCCTCCACCATAGCTTGATGTAGCTCTTCCGCCGATTCCAGAGCTTCGACGAAGCGGCGATGCCGAAGACGATGTGAGAGAGTGTCGTTTCCTCCTCCTCGGGGTCTGGAATTTTCTCGGGAAGGAAAATTTCGGATTGGCGACGGATTGCCAGGGATTCGTGGTCGGAATCGTTGAAGGAATGGGAGACGAATCTCAGGGAATATGAGATGTAGGTGAGGACGATTAAGAGAGAGAAGATCATTAGCTTCATCATCGCCCAGGAGGCGAGGAAGGTTTCTGGATTGTTCGGAGAGTTCTTCATGGTTTTCACTATTTCGTGTGCTGTTTGGCTGGAGAGAAAGTGAAGCAGAAATAGAAACTAAAAACAACGAGCTCCTGGCAAAAAACTAAAAACTAAAATCATGAAGGAATAATTTAAGTGTGATTTCTCTTTTGTTTTAATTAATGTTTCTGATTTGGTTCATTAGAAGAGGGAAGTTGTATTTATAGATTCCCGGACAAAGCGAAAAGTTGGACTGAATGATAATTAAATCTGAAAACAAATCCTACGTTCTTCGGTAAATATATTGGGCTAATCTGTTTCAAATTTTTGTTACAGATTTTTCTTATAAAATTTAAATTAAACCTCTATTACTGAAATTTTGTTACACGTGTAAAGGACTTTTTTATTTTTATTAGTGTTTTTTCTCTTATGAATTTATTTTTAAAGTAAAATTTTAAAAATGTAATTTGAATTTGTAGTTTGATATAGAGTTTAGATATGCAATTGGTCATAGATTTGAAACGGCAATAAATTGAAAAGATGGGTTCAAAATGCTGAAAATAGAGGAGAGTTCGAATTTTTTCGAATCAAATACACGGTACAAAATGGGTTCAAAATGCTGAAGATAGAGGAGATAAATCTAGAAATAGAGAGTTGTTTTGGGTTTGAAATGTCTAATCAAATGTTCAAAATGCATCTCAATAAAAATTACCGAACATATTTAGCTGAACTTTTGGATCCAAAACAGCTTAACCAAGTTATCAAATGCTCCCTTGGATCATACAATATCTATTATTCTGTAAAAAGAAAAAAAAACTATTATTACCTAAATTTTCGCTAGATTTCTTATCACTATTTTTTTTGTTGAGATAAATGAACTTCAAAATAAACATTTGTTTGTTTCTATTTTTATCTTTTACAAATTAAATGATACATTTGTTAGTCTTTTAAAACTCAATTTTCGGCAGTCTAGAAAAAACCTCAATTCCCTTAAAAAAATAAAAAAGAGTCCATTTTCGGAAAATGTCATTATGAAAAAGGGCAAATCAAGTATACAATTATGTCATTATGAAATTAAAACAAATTAAAGCCCCGTTCATTTCGCTGATTCGAGTTTAGAATTTGAATTTTATTACAGTAAAAAGCTCTCACAAACAATCACATCTAACTTTTTTACTACAGTAAAAAGCTCTCACATAAAATCACATCTCAATTCGAATTAAAAACTCAAATCAGCGAACTAAACGGGCCCTAATAAAAATAAAAAATATGCAATCATGTCAGAGTTTTCTCTTGTCTCTATTTCTCTCTCTCTCATGAGGCTATTAGGATTTCAAATTTAAAATCTCTTCTTAAAACCGGAGTTTGGCACCTTCACTGGTTGGTCGCCAGACTTTTGGCCTTAAGACGGTGGCTGAGGTCGTCACGTGTGGTCGGTGGTTGAAGAGCGAGGTCCATTAGCGATGGAGGCGTAGATGTGTTGAGTTGGAGCCTGGTGTCGTTGTTGCTTTGGGATGTTGGCCTCGTCATCGATATGGTTCTTTGGCTTCCGTACAATGGTTGTTGGCTTGTCGCCAACATATATTCCTGGATGGCTGAAGCTATTCATAGGTTTCATAGTGTTTTGTTAATTCTAATAAAGGCTTGTTTTCGCCGAGATTATATATTGTAATAACGAATGTGGTTTCCCCACATTCTGATCTTATTAATGTGTCTCACATGTCTTGAATTAGTTATTGATGATGTGTATTCGTTTATATCTAGATTTATTTTTAGGCTGTGTCACTTTTGTCTCTAGGATTAGGGGTTTAATCTCGATCAACTGGTTTTATCCATCGAATGTAGTGGTTCTTGTTAACGAGCTTTGATTACACTTGATTTCGATTTAATTTATGCTGAGCGGGTCTTTCTCTATTGGATCTTGACAGTTGTGGTCGCTCTTGTCTTCACTGGTAGATCCAGTCAATGTCCGAAGTCAAATTTCTTTATAGGTTGTGGTCATTTGTAACTATTTATGTAATTTGTTAATTTATTAATGAAATTTTTTTAAAAATATGCAACCATATCAAGCCAATTGGCTATGATTTTTGTTTCAACATAAGTGTTTTATTGATCTCCTTTGTTTAAGGACATAGAAGAGAATAGCAGTGACGCTGTTAACTTTTATTGATATAAGTCTAGCAATAGAAGTCCAAAATAAATAATATATACATATATATATATATATATATATTGAGGATGACATCAATCTTAAAGTTAATTAAACTAAAACTGTACTTGAACTGACTTTTATTTTGAACGAACTTTAATCTTAATTCTTTATATCAATTTTGAATTGTTATTCTTTTGTTGTTAGATGTTTAAAAATTTATCATATTAATTAAAATAAGATATAAAATTTATCTATTAAAAGATGACAACTAAGCAAGGGCTTCTCATATTTTCGCCTCCGCACAAAAAAAAAATTTTGTAAGTTTTTAGTAGTTTTTTAAAGGAATTTTTAATAGTTTCTCTCCCCTAAAAATTTGTATTCTAATATTCACCTAGTATTAAAAAGAATGAATTCAATTGTATCTCAAGTTTCAGAATTTATATATTGATGTCTTAAAAATTACACTATTTACTCGATACTTTTTTAAAAATTTCATGTATATCTGGAGTCTTGACTTTAATGTATCAATATTTGAAATTAAAAAACCCGAGTAGGCCAAAAATTAACTGTAATGCTATATTAAAATTTTTAAAAGTGAAGAATTAAACTTTGTTACAATTTACAAGTTTAATTGATCTCGAAAAAAGATAAAAACAAACAAAGATACAAAATAAATCTAGAAACAAACCTTTGAAATAATATAGTTGAATTGTTATTTTGGTTTCATTTATGCCCCTAAAATAATTTCTAGCTTTACTACTAGTGATAACTCAAAATTGGTACGTAATTGAGATTATAGTTTTTATATTTTCCCAATACTACCCTTTTATTTACTTATTATATTTTCTTAAAGAAATTGCACTTGTTGTGGTAAAATTAAGAATTGGTCAATAAAATTTATTGAAGTTCTACTTTAGAAAGAGTAGATTCATGGTGGAGAAAACTATTTTACTCTATTTGTAATAACTATGTTTTAATTGTTGAATTAGTTTTTCAACGATTTGATATGGAGTAAGGGCAATTTTGTATAGCACGCTGTAAATTTTTTAATTTAGACATGTATAAATCTTATTGTTATAAAATGAATCCAATAATTAAAAACAACAAAATAAAAAATGCATGTCCTGACATATATATTATAGAAAAGAAAGTTCAATATATATTGGGGGCATCAGATAAATTGAAAATGAATTCAGCATTAAGCTTAGGAGCAGAGAAGGGTTGTATTATAACTACACTATCAACTCCACTCCACAAAAAAATTTATTAAAAAGAATGAGAAATACAAAAATACCAGACAAAACATAGCATCTATATATTTATGACACAAATGATATAAATTTAACATTTATGCAGCTTAATTCACCAAAATATATCCTAGTAGAATATTTTTAAATATCTAAAATATTATTTTTTTTCTTCTCGAAAAAGTTGGTCTATCCTGGTAGAATCTTTTTAATATTCTATCAAAATAATTTTTTTTAATTAACAAAGATGGCATAATGTAAATTTATTCAATTTATGCACTCAACAAAATTATTCAATTTTGGTGCCATATTATGTAATTTCTAAAAAAACAGTTAAATAACTAAGATCCTATTTGTTAATGTTTTCTTTTTGATTTTTTAAGTGAAAAAAAAAACCGTTTTCTCTTGTTTTTGTGAATAAAAAAAATCAAATTTTTTTTTTTTGTTTTTTTGCTAAGGAAAATATCATGTTTATTTACTACCTTTCGTTTTTTCTTTTGAAAATTTGAGAACTTAAAAACTCCTTTGGTAGTGTTATACATATCTTTTGACATAAAAGAGTGAGGGGTTGTTCTGTCGTATTTTTTAGTGATAATTTTGAGTTGAGTTTGAGTTATAACTTGAATTGAAGGTGTAACTTGAGTTTGTGTTTGAATGTGCACATTTGAGTTATGATTTAAATTGAGAATCTATTTGAGTTTGTGTTTAGGTGGGTCAAAACTTAAATTTATATTTAGATAGTATTTTAATAAAAACTCAGGGCTTGTTATTTTGAGTAAAAAACTCAAAAAAGGCAACTCGAGTTACAACTTTATTTGAGTTAATGTTCTTTTTAGTTTAAACTCGAGTTTAAACTCGAGTTCAAACTCAAGTTTAGGACTAAAACTCGAGTTCAAGTTTCCCCTTCAACTCGAGTTCTCAAATTAATGAACAGTATTTTTTCTATTCTTAAAAATGTTATAACTTTTTCATTTTAATTCTGATTGAGATGATTTTTTTTCTATGCGTTGACAACGAAAAGACGAATAACATCCCGCTCATATACCCTATTAAAATTTTTCATCAGCATTGAGTTTTTATTAAAATATTATCTAAATACAAATTTAAGTTTTGACTCACTCAAACACAAACTCAAAAAGATTATTATCTCAAACCATAACTCAAATGTATACAACTAAACACAAACTCAAGTTACAAGTTCAACTCAAGTTATAACTCAAATTCAACTCAAGAATTATACTCAAGTTAAACTCCAAAAGAACAAGCCCTCAATGGTGATGAAAAATTTTAATAGGGTATATGAGCGGGATTTTATTCGTCTTTTCGTTGTGAATGCATAGAAAAAAAATAATCTCAATCAGAATTAAAATGAAAAATTATGACATTTTTAAAAATAGAAAAAATAACGTTCATTAACTTGGGTTCGAGCTTATGAACTCGAGTTGAAGGAGAAATTTGAACTCAAGTTTAAACTCAAATGTTATAAAAGAACATGAACTTAAATAAAGTTGTAACTCAAATTTAAATTTTTTTTTAGTTCCGTTCCAAAATAACAATCCCAGATATATATATATATATATATATAGGATAAATATTGCCGTTTTTCAGTAGAGGTGAAGATGTCTAAATAAATACATCGTTCACCGCAACATAGTGTTGAGGTTCTGGCCGGCAAGACAGAAGTAACGGCTGAGGTGGGCTTTAGAGTTTCTCACGAGGGAAAAGACACAAGTGGCCCTCAAGGACCTTTTGTGAAAAGATTTAAAACGTTAAGGACAAGTTGTAATTTTCCAAAATGCTTTTTTCATTTTTATATCATGC